TCCAAGGTCCTTCTGTCTACAACAAGTTATTTATTACACAATTATTATAACTGAAAGTCAGCATTCCTTATCCTGGTAGTTACGTCACAATCGTTGTCCTAATGACCTCAGCTACCTAGTTTTTACAAGATCAGTTAATTCAACCATTGTTCAAAAGTTCAAAAGTAGACATCCTGTTTATGCAAAAAAAGGAAGGCTTGTATTGTACAGCAATGTTAAGGGTTAGACACGGGAATTGTATTGGGTTTGATGCTGGAAACAGGGTCAAAATAACTCACCTAGCTTTTACTTATCTCTGCTATATATTACTGATAAAATTTCAAATTAAAAAAAGAATACCCTGAAAACAAGTTCAGTAAGTTGAATTTTCAATGTATTCTGAAATCATAAGCAGCCTTGAGATATTTATCACACATATTTTGAGTGATGGATGATATTCTCAATGTATTCTTCGATGAAAATCTACATATTGTTTTCTAAAAATTGAATAGTCCTATATTTCGTAAAGATTTTGTAGTCAGGATATCAAACAATTGTACTTAAGGAAACAGGAAAATTGACAAAACAGCAGCCAATAGAAAGTTCTCTACCATATATTATAACCGCTATCAATTCTCAAAGGTGTGTATAAGGCCACCTACAGGTCACTGCTTCCAATGCGTCACATAGTCGTAGTTTTATCGCTTACCTGGGTATAAAACTGTTTAATGATTCATATCCTTTCATACAGAGATGTCTACAGCTACATGTACACCCTACCTTTATAACTATAACCACTCCTCAGAAAAAAAACATCCTTCCAATAGGTTGAAGATATGCAATGATGACTAAGGAAGCACTTCTAAATTCAGGAAGAAAATTCACAATATGTCGCAATAAAATGGGGAGTGGCAGTGAATTTGTGGGATACTTTAATTTCTGGTAGGTGTTTCTGGAAAACACTTAGTAGTTAAAGCTAAAAGTTATTACCCAAACGCTTGTTGTTAAAAGTAAAATGAACGGTCACTCACATACATATACCCCTTCCCCTCAGGGCCAACCCCTTTTTGCCCATGACCTCCATGACCTCCATGACCTTTGGCCCTTCAACCTTGACTGATGACCACCAAAATCATATCAGAAGTAGAGCTCGATGTTAGCACACAATAATGAAATATTAAATTTGTTAAGGAGTTTGTGAGAAATGTTGTACCGAAGATTTTAACTTCAAAAGTGGTAAAGTGTGATAACTGAATGTATCCACTGACCTTTAACCTTGGCTGATGACCGCCAAAGTATATCAACTTATGTGTTCAGGGGTTCTGGAGATATCTTGTACACAAGCTTTTTTTAACTATAGATGATGGACTATATCCACCCTCACTAAATAGGGGGTGTAATTAGACAAGAAGCAAATGGGCATAATTAGCTCACTTATAATTCTGTAGTAGGACGAGAAATAGTGATAAAGATAGTACCGTCGCTGGGGCTCGAACCAGCGACTCTTGGCTCTCCAGCCCGATGCTCTACCGCTTAGCTAAAGGGAAATTCCCTACAGCTGACACTTGTAAGGCAACCTAATCAATGCACTTCTTTTACAATACAAAGTGTTTATACAATACAGTGCATGCATATCATATACAATACAGTGCATGCATATCATATACAATACAGTGCATGCATATCATATACAATACAGTACATGCATAAATATAAGCTGAGAATTGACAAAAAAATGCTTTGGGAAAGGATTTATTTACCTGATTAGCTCAATTTATTGACACAAACAATGTGATTTGTTGAAAAATTCAAAATGCCTTTATGTTTAATATCTTTCGGTTATAATTATAAATCCCTACCGATGTAGGTTTGGTTCTGAATTTCCATATGTGGTTTGAACAATGCTGAGTCCTCTTGGCCCAGGGACCTCTTATACCAAATCAGGTTAATATCACTCCATTTCAGCTTACCTAACACTGGTCTCTAAAAGAATCCCAACACACCTGAACATGTGTCCCTGGTGTCAGTGTCCCCAGGGGCAGTAATTAAGAATCCCACCACACCCGAACATGTGTCCCTGGTGTCAGTGTCCCCAGGGGCTGTAATTAAGTATCCCAGCACACCTGAACATGTGTCCCTAGTCTCAGTGTCCCCAGGGTCAAAAATTAAGTATTCCAGCACACCTGAACATGTGTCCCTGGTGTCAGTGTCCCCAGGGCCAGTAATTAAGTATCCCAGCACTCCTGAACATGTGTCCCTTGTGTCAGTAAGTATCCCAGCACACCAGAACATGTGTCCCTAGTCTCAGTGTCCCCAGGAGCAGTAAGTTGCTTTGTAAAGTACCGCATTCCCATTACATGAGTACTAATGATTTAGACAACTTCAAATAAATTAGTTGAAATACTGCCAGAAGCTCTAGAGAACACATTGTTTGAAGCTGAATGTTAAACTTCTGATTTTCTTTTTTCATTTGCTGATAAATCACAATAATCACCCTTCTTATACCAAATCAGGTTAATATCACTCCATTTCAGCTTACCTAGCACTGGTCTCTAAAAGAATCCCAGCACACCTGAACCTGTGTCCCTGGTGTCAGTATCCCCAGGGGTAGTAATTAAGAATCCCAGCACACCTGAACAGGTGTCCCTAGTCTCAGTGTCCCCAGGAGCAGTAAGTTGCTTTGTAAAGTACCTCATTAATCCCAACACACCTGAACATGTGTGCCTAGTGTCAGTGTCCCCAGGGGCAGTAATTAAGAATCCCTGCACACCTGAACATGTGCCCCTGGTGTCAGTGTCCCCAGGGTCATTAATTAAGTATACCAGCACACCTAAACATGTGTCCCTAGTGTCAGTGTTCCCAGGGGCAGTAATTACGTATCCCAGCACACCTGAACATGTGCCCCTGGTGTCAGTGTCCCCAGGAGCAGTAAGTTGCTTTGTAAAGTACCGCATTCCCATTACATGAGTACTGTGTCCCTGGTGTCAGTGACCCAAGGGTCAGTAATTAAGAATCCCTGCACACCTGAACATGTGCCCCTGGTGTCAGTGTCCCAAGTGTCAGTAATGAAGTATCCCAGCACACCAGAACATGTGTCCCTGGTCTCAGTGTCCCGAGGAGCAGTAAGTTGCTTTGTAAAGTACCTCATTAATCCCAACACACCTGAACATGTGTACCTGGTGTCAGTGTCCCCAGGGACAGTAATTAAGTATCCCAGCGCTCCTGAACATGTGTCCCTTGTGTCAGTGTCCCCAGGAGCAGTAAGTTGCTTTGTAAAGTACCGCATTAATCCCAACACACCTGAACATGTGTGCCTAGTGTCAGTGTCCCCCGGGTCAGTAATTAAGTATACCAGCACACCTGAACATGTGTCCGTGGTGTCAGTGTCCCCAGGAGCAGTAAGTTGCTTTGTAAAGTACCGCATTCCCATTACATGAGTACTAATGATTTAGACAACTTCAAATAAATTAGTTGAAATACTGCCAGAAGCTCTAGAGAACACATTGTTTGAAGCTGAATGTTAAACTTCTGATTTTCTTTTTTCATTTGCTGATAAATCACAATAATCACCCTTCTTATACCAAATCAGGTTAATATCACTCCATTTCAGCTTACCTAGCACTGGTCTCTAAAAGAATCCCAGCACACCTGAACAGGTGTCCCTAGTCTCAGTGTCCCCAGGGTCAGTAATTAAGTATACCAGCACACCTAAACATGTGTCCCTAGTGTCAGTGTTCCCAGGGGCAGTAATTACGTATCCCAGCACACCTGAACCTGTGTCCCTGGTGTCAGTGTCCATAGGGTCAGTAATTAAGTATCTCAGCACACCTGAACATGCGCCCGTGGTGTCAGTGTCCCCAGGGACAGTAATTAAGTATCCCAGCGCTCCTGAACATGTGTCCCTTGTGTCAGTAAGTATCCCAGCACACCAGAACATGTGTCCCTAGTCTCAGTGTCCCCAGGGTCATTAATTAAGTATCCCAGCGCTCCTGAACATGTGTCCCTTGTGTCAGTAAGTATCCCAGCACACCTGAACATGTGTCCCTGGTGTCAGTGTCCCCAGGGTCATTAATTAAGTATCCCAGCACACCTGAACATGTGTCCCTTGTGTCAGTGTCCCCAGGGTCAGTAATTAAGTATCCCAGCACACCTGAACATGTGTCCCTGGCGTCAGTGTCCCCAGGGTCATTAATTAAGTATACCAGCACACCTGAACATGTGTCCCTTGTGTCAGTGTCCCCAGGGTCATTAATTAAGTATCCCAGCACACCTGAACATGTGTCCCTAGTGTCAGTGTCCCCAGGGGCAGTAATTAAGTATCCCAGCACACCTGAACATGTGTCCCTGGTCTCAGTGTCCCGAGGAGCAGTAAGTTGCTTTGTAAAGTACCGCATTCCCATTACATGAGTACTAATGATTTAGACAACTTCAAATAAATTAGTTGAAATACTGCCAGAAGCTCTAGAGAACACATTGTTTGAAGCTGAATGTTAAATTTCTGATTTTCTTTTTTCATTTGCTGATAAATCACAATAATCACCCTTTCATGAATAATTATTGCTTTCGTCGGGAATCTCTCTTCCTCTCTTCTTACTCTTATCCCTGTCCCTCTTTTTCTGGATAAACTTATACTTTTTAACCAAACTATCCCCCAATCCCCGTTTCAATTAATTCCAGCCATTTTCTTGTATATTTATTTTCCTAGGCGTATGTTATGCAAGTTATATTCGTGAACCAAATTCTAAATTAATCATATTTACAACAACTAAAAGGTTTTTTTATGTGCGAAGGTTAGATACATATATTTTAATTCAAATCCTTCTTGCAGAACAGAGTTGCACAGAATATTAATCATGATAAAACTTGAATATGTATGCTTAATTAAGAGAGTATTAATGTAAAGGACCGTAGCTGACGTATTCCATCCTCAGACGGTTCATCATGTGTATGATATGTCTGGAATTAATAAAAAATGAAAATAAAAAAATGCACTACATATTAAATATAAAATGTGTACTTACCCTTCGGGCTCTCTCCATCTCTCCACATGGCAGCCTCTTGTTGAAACCTATCCCAGTCAGTGGCGTTCCCGTGGGGGGTAACAGAATGGAGGCATCCATCATAAAGTACTCCACATTTATTGGCCGACTCTGGACACAAAAATAGACATAGTAAGTGTTTGTATGACAATCATATTTATTGTCTGACTCTGGACACAAAAGTAGACATAGTAAGTGTTTGTATGACAATCCTATTTACAGTCTGACTCTGGACACAAAAGTAGACACAGTAACTGTTTGTATGACAATCCTATTTATTGTCTGACTCTGGACACAAAAGTAGACATAGTTAGTGATTGTATGACAATCATAATTACTGTCTGAATCTGGACACAAGAAGTAGACATAGTAAGTGTTTGTATGACATTCATATTTACTGTCTGACTCTGGACACAAAAGTAGATATAGTAAGTGATTGTATGACAATCATATATCCTTTCTTACTCTGGACACAAAAGTAGACATAGTAACTGTTTGTATGACAATCCTATTTATAGTCTGACTCTGGACTAAAAATAGACACAGTAACTGTTTGTATGACAATAGTATTTACAGTCTGACTCTGGACTAAAAATAGACATAGCAACAGTTTGTTTGACAATCATATTTACTGTCTGACTCTGAACACAAAAGTAGACATAGTAAGTGTTTGTATGACAATCATATTTACTGTCTGAATCTGGACACAAGAAGTAGACATAGTAAGTGTTTGTATGACAATCCTATTTACAGTCTGACTCTGGATACAAAAGTAGACACAGTAACTGTTTGTATGACAATAGTATTTACAGTCTGACTCTGGACTAAAAAGAGACATAGTAACTGTTTGTATGACAATCATATTTACTGTCTGACTCTGGTCACAAAAGTAGACATAGTTAGTGATTGTATGACAATCATATTTACTGTCTGACTCTGGCCACAAAAGTAGACATAGTAAGTGTTTGTATGACAATCATATATACTGTCTGACTCTGGACACAAAAGTAGACACAGTAACTGTTTGTATGACAATCCTATTTACAGTCTGACTCTGGACTAAAAATAGACATAGTAACTGTTTGTATGACAATCATATTTACTGTCTGACTCTGGACACAAAAGTAGACATAGTAAGTGTTTGTATGACAATCATATTTATTGTCTGACACTGGACACAAAAGCAGACAAAGTAACAGTTTGTTTGACAATCCTATTTACTGGCTGACTCTGGACACAAAGCAGAGACATAACAAGACAAACTATTGCAGGCAATCACTAGTCTTCAAAATTTGTGATCATGGAATTGGAGGTGTTATCTGTGTGGCAAAATGTATAGATTACATAATTTTTATAACATAATTCATAATTTTTCTTATTTTTTAAAGTAAACAAGTACAGTAAAACATCACTTGCTCGAATTCACATTACTTGAATACCCCCCTGTTCCTCAAATATAGTGAAATCTGTATTAAGCGACCACCCGAGGGAAATTAAAAAAACAGTCGTTTAATAAACATGGTCGTTTAATAAAATTTGACCATATTTTGTACAGAATCACATAACCGACTATATAACCAAACGACTCCTTGTTCAGACAACTGTAAACAGACTACCACCCCAAGAGCATGTAGAGGTAGTTTAAAACAACAACATTCAACAGATCAGGTGAATAACTAAACAATAGTCGAGTGATAATATTATGACAGTAAACAAACAATTAAGAGTGTTTGAGAAGAGTTGTCATTTCACTCAGAACAAATGATCAACAGAGACTTGTTGAAATTCTCAATTTACACGACTGTGTTTCGGTAATTATCATAATTTAAACAAACTTGTTATGAAAGATATTGTTGTTGAAATGATAGGGGTTCCTGTGTTGGTCCAACAGATGGGTTCACATGAATTGTTCCTTTAATTTACGATGGAAACTGGAAAGAGAATAAAGCTGACAGCATGTTGCCGAAAAACAGACCGGTATTATTGTCGTTAGTACTTTGGCGTTAAGAAGTTCAGGGATGTTATTAAAGGCTTATTTTAATATTGATGAGGAATTAGAAACGATATGTGTGCTAACATAAACTTGTTTGGTGCGCAGTTGCGCTGATATTTAATGTTAATTTCGCACAAGTGTGCTGTCGTGAACATCTCTAAACAGACCCGTATTTTCACTGCTAAATCAACAATATCGGCAGTTAGAAAAAGGACTTTTTATTTGTTTATGAACATCGATGAATTAATTATAAGTTTGGAAATTAGTTTTGTCAAATTTGTTCACTGAACTTGGTGAAAAGATCGTGAAGTAGCCCTTCGTCACAGGTGGTGACGGTCGCAAATTTGGAGTTGCTCAACTATTTCAATGACCGTTTGGTATATTTTTGTCAAACATGGTCGCTAAAATGTATCAAATATGGTCGTTTAACATAATTTTGGGGCCAGTATTGGGGGGTCACTGGTCGTGTTAGACTGATGGTCACTTAATGCAGTTAAATTACATAGTAAAAACGGTCAGGAGGAACGAAAAGTGGTCGCAAAAAACAGATGGTCTTTTAATACAGATGGTCGCTTGAGCGGATTCGACTGTAGTTTGCTTGGTTCCTCAAAATCTTGTTGATCCACAACAAAGGCAAAATTGGATTTGCCTTTGTTCAGTTGGAATTCATATTGCCTAAGAATGCCAAATGAAAGTAATTCAATACTTATATATACCATTTTTGGAATCTGTTCATCTCATAGAAAATTCAATTTATTATTATTCAGCTTTTAGTTCAAATAATGTTTGTATCGTGTATGCTTTTTCAATGAATAGAACAGCCATTGTCCAGGATTGGTCAGTGGTATCAAACATAACAAAATTAGGATGTCATCATAATAACAGGACGATTCTATTTTAACCATAGGTAGAAAGAATTCACATGTGCTTCAACACTACTGTCAATAACCCAGTGAATACATGTGTCACCTTTTAGTTAAATGGAATTGATTACATATAAAGCAAGACAGGTAATATGTTAGCTAAAACAGTAGGCTTGGCCAGGGACAGTATATAGAGGGGATTGGCAACTCTGCCCCAGTCAAGATTCTATAGCACGTCGCTTTTGTGTTTGTTCACCGAACCGCAAGTCATCGAGAACCCCTCTCGATCAGCCCGCGCTTGCGCACTAGCGTTAAAATCATGTCAACAATCTCGCCGAGATGGAAGTATTTTGATAACGGTTAGCCCTGATTGGGACTGTGTATTAATAGGTCTTCATTTTATTCCAGGGACAGGGCTATCGTTGCCACTATGTCTAGCCTTTCGGCTGTGTTGGTGGCTATTACAACAAATCAGATTTCGTAAAGCACGTTCCAGTGAAAATAATGCTAATATTGACACTTTTTGACACATAAACAGCACAAGTTATTTGTTATTTTTTTGCCATAAAAATTAGTTCTACATATCAAAAAATTATTCAACTTTCTATCGCTGTAAATTTCAAAATGAAGTATTTTTTAAATGAGCTGATCCTCGAATGCAGGCGATACTTTTTTGTTGCGTTTAACATTTCCGGTTGTTTACGGTTTTTAACAACACGTGTCCTTCGTTACCAGACGAGTAATTTCATCTGTGACATCGCTATCGTTCCAAATAATGCAAATCAAATCAGGCCTACTTAACATAGAAATTACTCGGCTGTTTATTGATATTAATTGTTTTAAAAAATA